GTGTGTGTGTGTGTGTGTGTGTGTGTGTGTGTGTGTGTTTTAAAAGTATATTTGAACAATGACAATGAACTTAGCACAATGTACAAACATACAGCTGTACTAGTATAACAGCAATCACTACAAATATTTTAAAACTTAGCTAAAATATGTAAAATACTTACAAGGCTTATTTGCTAAACTAGCATAAAAGAAGTACATTAATGTGTTAAATTATAAAATGTTTTTTCTGAACTGGTCATCTTATTATTCAAATATACTTTTAAAACACACACACACACACACACACACACACACACACACAGGACAAAATAAAGGCTAATATATGCATGACAGAAGGTATCAGGAGTTACTTCTGGAAATTTGTCTTAACTTTCGTTAAGGAAGTCTTCCTCATCCAAAGAAGACTGGTAAGAAAGAAAGGGGCTTCTATAAATAAAACATCTTAATCTAAAATTTTATATCAAAATAAAAACTGGCAACCTAAACTGTGCAGCCTTCACTCACATAACCATATCAATATATTGTACTGGATCCTAGCACAAGCATGATCTGCTCCAATCGACTTGTACAAAATGGTTCCGTAGAAAACAAAGGGAGGGGGGAGGAGAGGCAAAATTGTGCTGTGGTTTCCTTTAGCTGAGAAAAAGGGTAATCGAGCACTGACCTTGAATTGTCCTCTTGAAGAAAGCCTTGCAGGCCTCACATGAAGCCACACCATAGTGATACCCTGATGCAATATCACCACAAACCAAACACAATCTTTTGGGCATTGAGTTCAGCATGTATTCACACTTGGTTTGTGAATCTTCAGCAATGGTACTGGAGCAATCATCATATCGTTTCCTGACAGACCCATTGCCCCCAAGACCTGGGGCTGAAGAGTAGAGTGGTGGTGAATCTAACCCATTCTGATGTCCATTCATGGTTGAACTGTAGCTTCCACTGGCGTCAGAGGAGCCACCAGGGCTGTGATGGTTGATGCTGTCCGTCAAGGAGGCGGGGCTTGATGGTTCCGTCTTGATATATGACGAACAGCTAGAATCAATATGTCGATCCTTGCTTGACATTCTGCAAAGAAGCCTGCATTGTAAGAAAATGGGAGAGAAAGAGGTTTCTGTGAATTAAAGACATGATCTTTAAAGGCGTGCTGTAAGGGCTAAATACTACATCATTCATTCATTAGTCAATACCTCTTGTTTTACATGAAGGTAATCAGCATAAGCACATGATAGAGCCAAAGCCTCAATCTGGCTGCACACAAAAGTTATAAAATATATAATACAATAGTTTTCTTTTAAATCACCTCTCCAAATTCTAAAATTGTCATATATAGTAATAAATAAATTTACTGCCAAATTGTTCTTAGAACTTCTTTCCCCTATGACAACACATTTATCCCCTCCAGTAACAATAAAAGCAAAGAACATCAAAATTGTTTCTGTATCTATCAGATGAATGTTTTGCTCAGTAAATTCTTTTTGTCAGCAAGTTTCTTAAAGCATGACTGTACTTTCTGTATTGATTGAATCTCAGTGTGAAAGAATAAATCACATTTAAAGAAATTTATAAAGAGATTTTTGATCTCAGATTACAGTGGGTAATTAAGCTTGATTTCTGTTTCACAAAATCTAAATGGAATAATTCATAAGCTTTGTCTGCAATTACATTTTAGCTGTTGTCCATAGGATTAATCAATAATAATGTAAGCATCCAGTACACCTGGAAGACTATATGACATGAAAGCTAATATTTGACTATTTTGGGGGAGAAAATGCTGTTGTTAAAAGAAGGAAACAGAGGTTTTACTTGTCAGATGATAAGATCATTGATCTCTTCTTATTAAAAAGGAGGTATTCAAAGTAGTAAAAAACATCTGAACTTGCACATTTTCTGACTGTGAAAACTGGAAAAAAATTCTGCTAAGTGGCAGATTGATTGCTATGTGCTTCTTAACTGAAGAGACTGCTGTCATGGCAAACACCATGCTAATGTAGTCTTTGAAAGATTTTCAAGAATGCAGCGAAATCTATTTCACTCATGACAGAGGTAAATTTGAGTTGGGTCAATATTCAACAAAAAATAGCTTCTAATCCTGAAGAACATATCAATCTGACTGATTCATCTATGTCATTCTTATACTAAGTTTTAGGTGGAAAAATACTTTTGGATAAATCGGCAGCGTTCTCGACAGGCTTCATGAACTGTTACAAAACTAGAACATGTTACCTTTTCAAAATATGAGTGTTTAATCAAATTTGGAAAGGAAATGTTGCAGTGAATCTCTTAGTTATCAGAACTTTGGTTCTACAGTATCTTTTCAATTAGCAAACTATCTCTTGTCACTATATTTTACATAAGTATTGGTTTATTTCAGCAGAGTCAAAGAAATACATTTATCTTGTTCAACAATATTAAGAATCCTTTCCAAGAACAAAAGTATAGCTGAAATTAATATGTTAGAATTTTCATATTCCTTTGCTAAATCAAGATGAAATAAAACATTTATTATTTTTATATACTAATGTAATAATTTAGCAGTCCTAAATGCACAGTAGTCTAAATCTACTACTCAACTTGGAGAAGAATTTAAGAAAAGGAATAGTTTCTTATCTTACAAACTCTAACAGGAAGTAAAGTGATTTCCACTTGTTAGCCAATCTTCTAACAAAGAACTTGGAAGAAAAAAGAACCCTTTAACAAGTTCATTTAGAGATTTTAGAAATTTTGTTAGTAAATAATAAATGCTGCCCTAAATATTTCCAGTAAAGAAATAAAAACATTCCAGAACTTAAGAGAACTATGTTTTCTGAACCTGCCTGGTTATTGTCTAAGGCAATGTTCCTCAACCTTGAGAATTTTAAGATGAAGGGACATCAATTCCTAGAATTCTTGACTCAGCCATGTTGAATGCAAATTCTTGGACTTGAAGTCTACCCATTTTAAAATAGCCAAAGCTGAGGAACACTGTTTTATGGCTGTCCTTTCACCACAGGCAATATAGAAGTAAATCACTATCACATCTTAGACCAGTGTTCTTCAGCTTTGGCTACTTTAAAATAGATAGACTTCAAGTGTGATACTGATTTTTTTTCTATATTGCCTGTGATGAAAGGACAGCCATAAAGCAGAGATACCCCTTTTTAAATTACCTCTTGAGGTTTCTAAGGATGATTTTTCTTCAGCAGTTAACATCTTATTTAACAATATGGTCTTAATAATTACATTTTAATCTGAAGTTTATTTTATTATCTGTTTGGTGCACTGTCCAAAGCTATTTGCATTTTTAAAAACATGCATGGATCTGAAAGTATTTGCCACATCCCCCTCAGTCATTCTTCCCCAAAGGAAAAAATAACATGGGACAACAACATGACACCTGGAGTACCAATTTTGCTTAGGGATTCCAATAAAGATATAAAGGCTGGAGTATATTTTCAAGTCCAAAGTCAGTACAAATTCTGATTGTTAATCAGTTAGTTTATCATCAGTTACATGGACAAATATTATGTTAATAATGAGGAACAGAATCAATATGATATCCATATGATTTGGCTGGAAAAAGCCCAACCAAAAATATACTTTTCCATTATTTGAAGAGAATAAATGTTTCAGATATATTGTATTCAATTGGGTTTCCTCTCCATTTTCTGCCTTGTGGTGACTAGTGTAATTAATACATCTATAATTAATAAATCCCTCATTCTTTTTTCTTCTTCTCAAACATTTTTCTCAAGACCATTTGAAAGATAATGGATAACTACTGAATTACTGCAATCTTATGAATTTCTTTCATTGTAGAGACTTTACAAAAATACCCAATTTAATAATTTATGTTCGTTAGACAGCTCTTAAGTACATTACAATCTGGGATACAGCATAAAATATTAGGCTACTGAAGCTTGGCTTTCTTTTTGCTGTCTATCAGCAAGAAGTCTGCCTTCATTCTGACACAGGATTTGGTACGTCCATAATTAAAATACAAATAATTCTCTTGTAAGCTAGTAATTACAGAACTTGACTGTAAGGGCTGGATGCCTCTGAATAACATTTATCTAGCTTTGAAAAAAATGCAAACTATTTTAAAAATGTTAAGAAATTCATAGGTTTTCTTTTTTATATGGAAAAGCTTCATATCCTACAGAGTTTTGTTTTGCTTTTTTAAAGAAAAGATTTGGTATGAGTGAAGATTTAATGCACTTAGGATGATTTTACTTTTGTCTTGAAAAAATGGATAAGGAAAAGATCCTGTGCTCAGTTCTCTGGAATGGATTATGTAATTAACAGGAAGCAAATTAAACATGAAGGACAACTGTGTAATATATACTTTATATCTCATATCGTTTGATTCTGGATATTTATATCTGACTCCTCCATCTAACTCCATTTTGCTATTCTAATCATCACACCAACCACATTTTGTAGGAGATCAAGAAAGAAAGCTAACACACATTCCTTCAAGCAATCTGTTGTAAAAATCTATCTCTGGCTACTGAAGGAATAAAGTGCTACATTAGAAAGTCCATTAATGCCACATAGATGTATTTCCTTCTGTTTAAAATTCAGATAACACTATTAAAGCAGTAAAATGGTAAGTTCCATTTGTTAGCTATGAAATCCTAGCGACTATGGTTGGTGGCTTAGCATTATCAATAACCAAACCTAAACCATGTTTTAATCTTACTTATTTTGTGTGTGTGTGTGTGTGTGTGTGTGTGTGTGTGTGTGTGTGTGTGTGTGTGTGTATGTATATATCACAACCCCTGGTATGCCCCAATTATAGGAGGAAGCTAACTGCTTCCATTCTCTGTCCATCGGCTCGTCAGAAGAGACCATCCAGACAGAAAGCCCAATATTTTACTGTTGCCTTTGTTACATTTGTGTAGCAGGTTCGAATCCCAGTAAGGGTATGGCTAGCTGATGAGAGCTAAATAGCTTGAAATAGATCTATACTAGTCTTCCTTTATTTATTTATCAGCACAAATACTATGTATGTATGTATGTATGTATGTATGTATGTATGTATGTATGTATGTATGTATCAAAGGCAAATGATGGACAAAAGGGGATGAA